TACAAATGTTCAGAACGAAAAGAAACCCTATTTGTTCATCCAAAGCAGAAGAATTGTGCATTTTTCTTAAGGATCTTTTTGTTTTATCTTTTTCTTTTTTCTTCCTCTTATGAGCAATGAGGATGAGGGTAAGCTCTATGGAAAATATAATTTTTTACAAGTAGATGTGAAAAGAGTCAGGCCTGGGTTTAGTGGATCTCATCTGGCAGAGGTTTCCCAATCTGCTTTTGCTCAAAGAAAACATTCCCTTTTTCTGTGTGATCGGTTAATCTGTTGTATTCTCCCAGTGGAGAACTGAGCTGGAGGGATCAGAACAACTCAAAATGCTCATAATGTCCTAGGTTATTGCAAACCTCATGTGTATGTTTGGGCTTCATCAAACCCTAGGGTGTTCTCGTGTGGTTTACTGTGCTACAAAAATGTCAAGTCTTTTAGGCTGAGATGGACATAAAGCCTGTACCCAATTGTGAAGCTCTTGTTGGGTAGCAGCAGGGGTCATAAGCTATCAAAAAGTGATTTTTAAATTACTAAGGATTGAAAATAGATGTGAGACACATGATTAGAAAGCTCCCTAAGGATGCTAAGACAATCACATAGATAGGTGGGTGAAGCTTTTAGAGAAAGTTTTGGAAAGACGAGTGTGGTGGAGAGAAATATGGAGAATAAGAACCCACTTGGTCTTTTCAGCTGGTGAAAATCTGATATTATGATGGTTTAGACAGTTTGCATCAGGCGGGTGCCTTGACCCATGCTGCTTCCCACTCCAAGATTGGACACAGGAAACTTTTAATCTGAGCAAGCAGAGGCTGCCCCAAAATGGGATCAATTTTCCTGAATGTTGTGAGACTGTTGTGCTACTCATCCTCTGTTATTGTAGTGGAAACTGTACAGGCAAATCATGAAGTACCTGCTAGGCAAATGCTCAAGGGCAGGAACTTTTTCAGCTGGACCACTGTTTTTGTATAGCAAATAAGCTTAATGGGATGGCTGCAGCTGTTAGTGCTAAAACCTTTCATGGGGTTGTTTTGTTTTGATTTTTCTTTTATCATACTGCATCAGCAGTATGATCACCATCTTCAACCCCCCATAGAGCTCTGCCCAAGTCATGGCTCTGGTTGCCAGTGCACGTGTATACAGGCTGCAGAGGGGAGTTTGGTCTAGTCCCACAGTACCTCCCTAGCCCATCCCATGGTTACATTCATTACATGGAGCCACACTTGCAAGGAGGAGCAGACTTAGACATGTGGGTTGGCTGGGAATAAGGAAAAGTCTGGAAATTGGGAAAGAAAAATCCTCAGAGAAGGAACAAATCCTGAAGGATGAGACAAGGCAGCTGAGGAGAGGTTGGAGGAAGTTAGCAGCATGCAGTGCTGTTGGGGGAGCACCGGCAGCCCGGGATACAAACCCTGAATACAGATGAAACAGCAGCCTCCTGCAGCGGGGAGCTGGCTTTTGTGTAAGAGCTCTTCAATGCATGCACAGTTAAAAATAAAAGGTGTTTGTATAGTGTTGACTCTCTGCTTGCTAACATGAAGAAGAACGCAAATAGAAGCATGAGCAACAAGGAGGAGGCGGTTTAATGGCTTTGGGGATTAGCAGCGGTATTTAGAGCCTTTCACCTCTCTGTTCCTAACATAAATCTTAACACAGATTGATGGTTTTAACCATCTGGCTTGTGTTTGCTTGTATGCAACAACTAGTGAGACAGAGAAAGAACCTGACCAGCAAGGCAAAAGAAAAAAAAAAAAAGTGTATGACAGAAGAAGGCATCTCCTTCTCCAGGGTCAGTAAGAGCAGGTATGGTGCAATTCTTCTGTTTCACAGAGCTCAGCAGGTAACAAGGGAGAGGGGAATGAAAGAGTAACAGGCATCACTTGGTACATGACTCCACCGGGGAGCCTATGACTTATACAAATGTGTATGCTCTGAGCAACTTGCTCCCAAATGCAAAGCTCTGTGATCTTTAGAGATACAGTTACCCCAGATAGCATGAGAGTTAGAGGGCAAGTTTCAACTATAGCTTGATTGTCAACTGTAATTTATTTTATACTTGACTGGAAACTGTTCTCCATGCATCACTCATCTAATACCTTAATTTTATGTACTGTAGCCCAATTTATAAGCTGGAAAATTTTGCACTCTAAACCATGCAACACATTTTGGATTAGATGGCTTCCATGTATCCTATGCCTTCTAAATACTGTTGCAAGTTTTCTCGAGGATGGGCTGACCCTTGCAGGGAGTCCCTTTCGGTTTTCCTCTCACTCCAGGCTGCAACGTCTGTCATTCCTTTTCCAGCAAGGTCATCTTGGAAGAGCTTCCCAAAATCCAGGGTTTTAATGGGGAAGCCACATGAAAGATCACTGTTCTACTTCTCTAGACAAGAGAGTAACCAAGAGTGGGTACATGCGTGCACACGTTATAGCATGTTTTCCTAGTCAATTATTTTTCAACAGCTCTTGAGTAAGGGTGAGAGTTACAGAGGACCTCACCTCTGATATTTCAAATGGAGAAGTTTGTGCAAGAAATATTGATGATATGTCTTTAATGAAACGTTTGTTGGTGTCAAAGATTGACTCTTGGGTTCTTCTTGTGGTTTTACTCAATTTTGCTTTGGGATTGACTGTCTGTGGTACATATTTCAAACTGAAGCAAACCTCTAGAAGGCTTCCCATGGATGGGGTAAAAAAATGTATAGGGAGCATTAAAAAAAAAACCCCAAACCAACAAACAAACAAAAAACCATAAAACAAAAAATCTAGGCATTTCAAATCTAATTTATAGCAGTCTTGGGACTGATTTTGCTTCATATTAAGGATGTAGAGCTTCAGTAAAAAGTATTTTTACTTGCTTTTACTTCTTCAGAACCAGTAACCAAGAAACTGCTTGTAATATCATTCTTTTGTGCAGAAAGTGAATAAATTTTGGATATAGATTTCTAAACCACCGGTTTTTATCTCAAATAATTGGTTTTGGCATAGAGCTCCGGCAACTAAACATGGTGTTTATCACTTCAGCCAGCCACACCAAGGTCAGTGAAAGAGACTGCTTTGTATTTGACAGGAAAGCACTTCCACCGGATGCATTAATAGTGTGAGAGTAAGAATTATAGACACGTGAAGTGACTGAGGAGTGCTGTGTGCCAAAGTGAAACTCAGATTCAGATCTAGATTGGGGTAGAATCTTCAAAGGCACCATAATGACCTAGAGATCATCTCACCAAGCAGTTGGGAGCACAACTCTCATTTTCAGAAATGATGTAAAAGGACTTTCAGTGAGACTTACGTTCCTTTTCCCAGAAAAAGCAGCCTTTAATTCACAATTAGTTCACAAAAGCAGTCTTTACCTCTTCATAATTATGTTGCATAATGACTTCACTACTTTTTAATAACATCAAATTTCTTGTCTGTGTCCATTATCACCAGCTTAGAAGCTATTCTGTTGCTTTGGGAATTTTGTATTCCAAGTCACTTACAGAACTATAATTGCGAACTTCGGCAGAAGACCAGGTGATATATGTATGTTAAGATATTATATTCTGCTGATTTAGTGTCAAGTCTTAGATTAATTTGAAATTTTATCATGCTGGTTTCATTATAAACGCTTCCATGGAAAGAACATGTTATTGGAAACTGAATAATTCATAATCTCTATGTTAACCAAATGTTTTCTGAGTGGTTTGCTGAAAAATGTCAGGACTCCAGTTGAAAATCCTGGCTCTGATGAAGTCAGTGACAGAATTCCCTTTGTCTTTAACAAGATTTTTCATTTTCTTACTTCAAAAATTACTTGTCAGAGCTCCTTAAAGTTTCTGTGTACAAATTTATATTTGTACAGTAGGGGCCCATGCGGTTTTTTTGATCTCCAAAACAATTGTTTGCAGAATAAAGAGAAAGGAAGTAAAATGTGCAGTGTCTTTTTTTTCAGTCCTGATCCTTTGGGCCAGACTAAAGCATACTCAAGAGAAACATAGCCTGCTGTCGTCTAGTGGCTTCTGAAAGTCCTGGCCTCCAGATCATGTCTGACTGAGATGGAAGGGGGAAAAGGATGGATACAGATACATCTACTGCAGATTCTTAAGCATCCATGAACATTCTCATGCTCATGATTTTAATGCAAACTTAATTCCCAGTGAAGTCCTCTGTTACTAACCAATTGTTCTGTTCTCATGCTACTTCATAAAGTTTCAGGCTCCAAATCTTGATGAAAGCAGAGCTTAAACCTTATAGCGTGTGCCACAGCATTTGGATCTCAGTGGAGTTTATAGTGTAAAGATCTGACCCTGCGAATTAGGACCTAAGTACTACTGTTAGTTTCCATTGCCATTGATCATAATACTTCAAAACTTCTTTGGGTTCAAATGGTGGTCATGATATGCACATATGCAAGTTTGAAAGATTTTAAGTTTTAGACAGAAATTGTATGCTTGCTACAGAATTTGCACACGCCCAAATCCATTTAAAAGGGTATAAATGGAGTCTATATGAGTTAGGAACACAGCTAAGGCTAACTTTTTTTTTTCCTCATCAAAACAACTTGCTGTAAGAAATTCCTTTGTTACCAAAATGCAACTTTTTGACCTTAAACCAAAGTCCTGTCTGACAAATTTATAGTAACTTCTTTATGCGGTATGATTTCTTGATAAGTAATTCTCTTCTTAAAGTAACCAGCTGTTCCCAGGAAACAAAGAAAACTGGAACTTGACAAATAACCCAAAAACTCTGCTAGAAAAGAGAATGCAATTTCATTTTGTACAAGTCATAATTTGCAGAATTCTGTAAATTTTGCAGAATTTTATTCCCAGTCTTTGTTCCCCAAGTTTCCAGTATCTGGTAGTACTAGAATCAAAAGCTTCTTTTCCCATCCACCTCCAGATCTCATTGCAAAATGTTAAATGAGAGGAGGCAAGCTACAATATTGGCAATTTGAAATGTGGAATATTTCATTTTAGGTATTTCCATGTATTCTTATTAGTAATTTTCTTTCAATTTTTTTGACAGATGATGCTAATGAAGAAGGGACTGAGCTGAGGGAAGAAACAGGTGAGTAAACAGTATTTTGTGCTAAAACATATCGCTTCTCCAAAGCATTAACCAAGCTGAAAGAATTCTTGAAACTGTTTGCCTTGTTTGTGATAAGCAGTGCCAATAATTTATTGCCAATGTTACGACAGCCATCTTTGGTTTTTACCATATCATTATTATCAGGGGCAAACCAGCCCTGATAATAAATAGTACATGGTAAGAATGGCTGAGACTACCTTTTTAATGTCATCATCTGTTATGAGCCTCTGGGTGATACTCTGTTGCTTTTTATGAATAACTAGTTTGAACATGAATGGGAAATAATTACAATTCTACAGTCTCTTTGTCTGTAAAAAGGTGTGAATACAGCAATTCTTGAATCATTTGCAATTCTGATTAGTGGCCATGATTTGTTTGCAATGAAAATGGTAGCAAAACTCTCATGCAAATTCTTAAATATGTTGAAATTGATTGGACAGTATTTCAGAGTACTTTTTTTCCTGGTTCTTCTAATTTGCTGTTTAAAACAAGTGTCAGTGTTTAAGGTTTGTGGATGTGGATAAACTTGAAGTGGAAATGATGGATAGGTATAAAGGAAAGAAAAGCCTGAGGAACAAGAAAAAGAGAGAACAGAGGATTAGGTATCTCCCCTGAGGACAAAAACTTCCAGTCAGAATGCTTCTGCTAGTTTTTTGTAGAGAACTTCATCAGCTTAATCTACTTGATCAGGCTTTTCGTAACATGCTTCCACCACAGCACCTTGTGTCACTTTCCCTGCTGACCTTCAACTAGAGGTTCTCAATGGACATCTCCTGTTCCATAAGAGATTTCTGGGAACTGAAGAACCTCCTTTTCTGTGCAGCATAGCTCCCCCTACTCTTCTTCTCATCCTTTCCTTCCTAACCAGCTAGTACCCATCCGTGGCAGTACACCAGGCATTTGCACTGTCCCCCAGGTCTCTGTGACCCTGATCTCATGAGAGCCCAGCCTCTCTGCAGGAACTTTCAGTTCTTCTCTTTACAAAAAGATACGGGATCAGAAAGGAGACCCACATGCAGAAAGGCAGAGATATACCAGCCAGAAAATAGAGGTAAAAGCTTTTGAGGCAGTGTGTTGGCTGCTTAAATTGGCAAGATTGTCCTAAAGACAAATGGATTATGATGATTTATGCAACCAGTTAATTAGCTTAGAAATTAGAAATATTTGAAGAATGGTGTATATGCGTAGATGTGAAAACACGGGTATACAGATAGATATGTGTTACACTGATGGATTAGCACATTCTTTTTTGGCTGTTCTGGCCTGTTGATTTTATTACATATAATTATAATTACTTTTTGGTGTCAAGATTACTGTATAGGAACTTTTAGAAATTTTAATACAATTAGTGTGATTGATATAGTTGTACGTACATACATAAAAGTAGAAAAATAAAGATCATCATTATGCAACAAACATTTGCCAAAGATTATCCTACAGTTGAATTAGCAGTATTACTCTAACATTTCCAATTTAATTTTTTACAGTAATCATGGCATGTATACTTTTATAAGCCAAATTATTTTGCATTTTTTGTCTCGTTGCTTTTATGGAGATTATGCAAATTATGTTGACTTTTCTTTTAATAATTTTAAATTAGAATTAAAAGGAAGTACATTTCCACTTAGTAGCTGGTCTCTTCTTTCTTGCCTTGTATCCTTCACAGCTTCTTTAATATAGATGAAGCTACATAGCTGCTCTGGGAAATTATCACTGAATGAAGTCGTTTGAGCAAGATATTTCCCTACCTTTCTGTTTGTTTCTGCATATGAGATAGATGAGATCATAGCTTCTCTCACAGGTTTGCCTGTAGAGTGTTATGAGCTTCAAAAGCATGTACTTGGTTATTTTTTTAATAATTTGAAGATATTTTGGGAATCAGTGCATTGATTGTCAGCAATCAATACCTACATGGCTAAAGAGAAGTATCTTTTGTATCTACTCCAGTAGTGGGGTAGATATACAAAAGTTATGCCCTTTTGACCTATTTGCTTATGGAGTTTTTAATAATTGTAGGATGCATTTGTGGGAACTAGAAATACATACATAATTGTTGCTTTGAGGGGAGTTTTCATTTTTATACTCAGATTTTTATCAGTTTGAAGGATATCTGCTTTTTACTGTTCTAAGGGAAAAATAGAGTAGCAACTTCTAGTCACCACTTCAAGATATTAATTGAATAATCATTTTTTATTCCACTTGACTTCATGGGTCATGACTCCAGCAGATGGAGTCAGCAGTTGGCACCAATATTGATGACCCTGGTTTTTTGAGCTGTCTTTATCCAATCTGCTTTGGGGTTATTTGTCCAATTCCTCTGCTTAAGAAAAAAAGGAAAAAATAAATGTCAGATTCCTGGAGAGCACATGTTGTGGACTACCACATGTGTAGGACCTTTGACAGAGATTCAGATATTCTAAATTTCAGCTAAATTCCTGTACTGACTAGGTGTTTCTGAGGGCCAATATTGAACCAAGAGAAAACATGGAGAAGTACAGGGACATGAATGAGATGTAGACTCATTGTATCTGTACCAAGAACGTAGCAGAATGAGGTGGAGGACAGAATCAGTCCTAATTTAAACCTGGTGGCAAGAATTAGAGGTAAAAAAATCTGATCCTGGTCTGATGTCAGCTGAAGTCAGTGGGAATATGTCCATTGACTTCAGTGCACACCGGATTAGGCCTTGGGAACAGCTAGAGAATTAACTGTGAGTAAGAAATAACAGATGACCAAACGTGTGTATTATTGAGTGAAGGATACATCATGGAAGTAATCTGTCTTGTGTTTCTGCCACCCTGAAGTGCAAATATCTCATTACACACAGAAAGGCCTTTCTTCCTGTGATTTCTTTTCAAAATAAATACAAAATTACATCTGCCAGATAGTCATCTCCATTAATATCTACATTAATACTATAAAATCAACAAGTATGAATGATCATTTTAGCGAGTTAATCCCATAACGTCACTGCATATATTGGATCTACTAGAATAAGAAAAACATTTAAAAATAAAAATAACCTAATCTTATTAACTATACACACTCAAAACCACTCTTTTAATGGCATTTGGCTCACAAGATTTTTAACCCATCACTTTGTTATTCTGGATGCTGTATCTTGTAGCAGCTGCTGACTTAATGGCACCATTTAATTTAAAGCGCTTTGATGTTATCATATGTCATACAGTTTGCTGTTAGAATGGCTCGAGTCAAAAGGGCAGATATAGTAATAAGGGGTATGGACCTGTGCAGTTCTACATCTCAGCTTTCCTTTATGAATGATTTCCTACATAAGCAAAGAGAAGGACCAGATGACCTAATAGTCTTGTCTACCTTTAACTTCAGTGATTTAACACTGCAGAGTCATGATGCTTAATGTTTTAAGCTCCATTAAGGGAAGATTATTCTAAACTTTAACTTCTGAAGGACCTCGCTTTTATACCCACAGATTCACATATCCATGCACAGAAGCATGCAAAATAAGCCCTAATATTGCCATAATTGTGTGCGCAATTGCAGTGATTGCATGTGGAAATTTTAGAAGCGTGGGCTATTATGAGAAGCACAATCCAGATTCCTACATAATAGTATCGTATTATTATGCACTGACATAACTTAATTCTCTTACCATTCAAACCCCCACCCCCCCAAAAAACCCCAACAAACAAACAAACAAACAAAACTCCACACATAAAGGGGTTTCAGTTCTGAATCTATGTTCTCCTTCAACCTGTTTACCTTCATTCTCCATCATTTTGACCTCAGTTGTATGAATGTTGCCACACTACTGTCTCTCATTTCCCATCTAAGAGTTGTTCATAATAAATGTCCTGCTGGTTATCCCATTTCTAGCCTGAGTATCCTAATTAACCACCCATTCATTACTTCAGAAGGATGTCAGTCACACTAACAAGGGAAGCCCTGTAATAAACAATACTGTATAAATAATACAGAATTTCTTTGTATGTTCCACTGTGTGTACACTCTTGGACACTTTTTTTTTGGAGGGAGACTTTATCTTTTTTTCTGAGATGAAAATAACAATCACTTGTAACCAGGGAGATTTGGAAGTTGTGAGGGATTTGGGGAATAGCTCACTTGGAGACACACTGTGAGATTTAAGTGGCTTGTTGACCCTCTGAATTAGCCTATAAAGAAGAATCATTTCTCCCAGTGTTAGAGCTCAGAAACCTTTTTGCACAGATGACCATGATTAGAAAAGCTTTGAATACAAACAGTTCAGACATCTGTCTAGGGGTGCTGGTTTTAAATAGAAATTTGCAGGCAAAAGTTCTGTAATATTTGGCTAACTGTTCTGAAAGACATATATACTGTTGGAGAGCAGAAAGGGTTAAGAGTTCTATTTTGACCATAATAAAAAGACATTATTTTGAAGCCTGCACAAATCCTTTTCTGTCTCTGGAATAAGGGAAATCTGCTAAAAAGCAGTGAAATTGTGATTGAAATCTTGCTTTCCTGGGACTGTGCCTTTAGATCCTTTTGTGAGCATTTTAAGGTTCTTTATAGAGTGCAAAAAGATCATTTCTTTTGAGATAGTAACAGTTCCGACATCTCTGAATGTAAGTCTCCTCCCTCTCTGTCTTGGTGCTGTCAATTAAGATGTTGGTTATGTTATCTAATGTATTCAGATACTCCTTAAAGACGTGGCTGGACATTTGCACTTAAACTTGATTGACAATTGACTTGTGGGTCTGGAGCAAACCCCACAGATTGGTTAGATGATAAAATTCATCACTGGAGGGGTGAGTGTTGATTGAAACACTTCAATTGATTCGAGTCCCTGAAGTGAATCATTGTCAACCAAAAAAGGGAATGTAGCAGGTAGTTCAGAGTGGCATTAGAGCCAAAGAAACCATACATCAATATGATCCACTAAAATATTCAAGTCAGTTTTTTAAAAAATGGGAGAGCATTGGCAGGAATCAACCTTTAAAAACCTGGTTATTTTCAGGATCTCTCTTTTGTATTGAAGTTCTTGTTGACCTGAATTGCCATTGCTCCTGAGTAACCCCTTTAAAGGGTTGACAAAGTTTGTATTTGATGGTTTTTGTCTTTATTTTGACCCACAGTATTTCTTGTGGTTGCTCCTACGTTCTCACCACTCCAGAAATAAATTCATCTTAGCACTTGAAAACTCTTGTTTTCCTCAAAATATTGTATTTGAATTTCAAATTCAGGTGAGCAAATGTGATGACATAACACATGATGTCCTATGTTCAGTGCTCTTGGGAAAGTTCTACCTCCTGATAGCAAGCCAAACCTCAAAGCATGTTCTGCTTTGCAGAAACTTGCTTTATTTACTAAGGGCTCTTCATGCTCTGAACTATATGAAATTCTATAATGAAGCAGAAATTCCACTCTAGAAATTTTTTTAAGAACAATATTCAGTTTGGCTTTTTTGGGTAATTCTCATTCTTTAAAATGAAGAAGGTGAAATGGAATTTAGTTACTCGCATACAGATCACCATTTGGGAATTTTTGTTAACAATTTGAACTATTGCATCACATAAATTCCTGCCAGCTTCCCAATCTGTGACTCTTCTTTTTGGATGTAAGAACAGTAGAATAACCAGCTTCCCAGGAGGGCAGACAGAGAACATTTCCAAGTTTCCTGGGCTCCATGCAAAGCCAACGATTCGCTCTCTTTTTGTCTCTTGAACCAAAACGATATTCCCCTTTACCCTGCAAGTTCCCTTTCCCCATGCTCCCTTACTTCTTTCATGCCTCCTCTTTGGAAACTTTCAGCATTTTGATTCTAGATATGTGTAGTTGTGGAAGGGAAGGAAAGAAAAGGATAGTATGTACAGCTCTTCGCAGAGCTGAGTCCTTTGTAAGAACTGGGCATCTGATCACTGAGAGCTGTTTAAAAATCCAGTGACATAGGGAGTAGGTGATTGTGTGGGGTATGTATGACACCAGAAGAGATGGGAGTTTTTGGCACACTTAAGCAATTTATAACACACACGTAGATAGTTTTTTTTCCCAGTTGCTAATTAGATAATCACTTTGAGTTAATACCATGATTCTCATTTTCTCACACATGACAATAGGGGTAAATCAAACAAGGTCATATATCTTCTAAATTTCCTGCTTACAAGTGCTCAAGATTTCTTTCCAGCACACAGAAAAGTGTGTTTTCTTTAGGCTTCTCCTTCACCCAAACCCTCACTGGGCCACAGGGAATTGGGAGATTTGACAGAAAGTCAAATGATAGAAAGCCATTTTGCCATCATGGCGGAATAGATTCAATAGGTGCGATGAATTGAGTTTTAATTGTCTGCCATTCTCTGCTTTCATGGTTAAGCGACAATATTTGAAGAATACTTTAATTAGTGAACCTGCTTTCATTAATGTCTTAATTTACAAATACAGTTTATTATTAATTTCCAGTTTGGCCTACCTACCTTTTGTACTAACAGACTTTCTGTGCTACCAGTTTATGCCTTGAGGTCTGTCTTAGCAAACGGACAGTAATTTCATTCTTTATGTTAAGATGACAGAGTATCCTGAAAATATAGAAAAACATCATGAGTTTTAAAGTTTAACTGATAATAAACACTGTAAACTTCAGTCTTTACAAATAGGGGAGATCTTAGACTTCACTTGCCTCAGTTACTGTTTTTACTTAGGAGGTTTTCCTTTTTTTCCATGTTCCTGTTGCTTTCTGGCTAGAATGTTGGAATGGATTTTTTCAAGCAGAGCATTTCTATCTCGTAAAGCTTTAATTTCCTTAGCTTTACTTCACTATCAAACTTGCTTCCCTACCTTTCATTTCATTACTAATTTCAGTCAATATTCATTTGTTAATGTGTTATAACATTGAATGGAGGATTGAGTTGAGAGGGAAAAATAATTTCATTCAGATTATTTCTCCACAGTTCCATAATGCAGTGTAATATAAACATTAAAAATTAAATTTTTTTTTTTTTAATTTCTGAAGAAATTAAGAGCTTGTGAAGTAGGTTATTTTCATGTGAGCTTTCTTCACTGCTGTCATGTGAAAGTTAGCAGAAGTCCAGTCCAAGCTGAAAAATACCTGTTACGACTTCTATAACAGATGAGGCAGTAATTAAATGGAGTGCTGAGGTAAAATGTGCTTACTGTTGCAATATCACGCATAGTAATATTTGATACAATAAAATAATTTCACAATATGTTTGTTGGGTTTTTTTTTAATGTTTGAAGGATTGGAACAAAAGACCCAGCCTCCATCTCCCACAAAGAGCAAAGAAGAGCAGCCTGAGGAGCTGCAAGGTGATGCTGAAGGTAGGTGGTCTGGCAGCTTTTCAGAGATATTAATCAATTTTGCATTTTGGGGGGAAAATTTTACTCTGAATTCTGGGGAAAGAACTGGAAAACTTTCATTTAAGAACATTCTTTACACACAGTTAGAAAGTTGCTTTTGGCCTAGATCATGAGATTGTAATTATTCTGAAGTGTATTTAATCTCCAGGTAGACTCAGAATTATAAATGCTATTATGTGATGGGCTACTAATCACTGTCGATATAAAATGAGAAAATGTTGCTGTTTTATCTCTAACCTGTTCTGACTTTATGTAATTAATAAAACAAGATGTAATGCATGTTGTGCAAGGGTCATAGTCTGGTTGGTTAAGTTGGTCAGGTAATTCAGCTACCTGCTGCAAAACACAAAGCAATAAAATTCTTGCTTTCCTTTCCTACAAGAAATTTTTCCTATATCCCATTCCACTCCAGCTACAGTGTTTATGGCTCAAGAGCTTATGCAGTGTATTACATCTATCCATGGTCAGAAGTCACAGGTGCTTAACATTGTACCTATAGTGTTGTTCCTGTAAGAGTGCTTCGCTGCACTTGAGTCTTCACAGGGCAGCTTGTCTATGTGTACAGAAGTAAATGTGGTCTACATTGTTCTAAAATTGGACCAAAGTATCTTTTCTTAATCTGTATCTCATTGGGAGAGTTGTTAAAAAATGTTAACATCAAAGACTTGTGTTCAGAGTGCAGTTTCACGTTGCTCTCGTATGTGTGGAAGAGCAAAATGCCCTAATGCTGGAGAATTCCCCTCACGTGAAATAGTTAAAAGGATGAACCTTGATCTTTAATGCATGACAGGTCCTTATCATGGATTCTCTTTGACCTAATGTTCCTCAAATGACACATCTCATTCTGCACCTCAACCAGTGGCTCCACGTTCTTCATCATTTTGACCCAGCATTGTGCATTCGGCTCTTAAAATATTCTGACTGGGGTACAGTGTGAGTCATAAAGAGCAGAAAAATGTTAACATCTATCACTTTAAGTAACTGCTAGTAACATCCTGTCACTAACATTGTGACTGGTTGTTAATGGCAAGTACTTAAAGCAATAGCTGTCATCGCCTGGAAGGTGTGGGGGGACCCAAGAATTCTCATCCTGATGGGTCTTCTTTCCTTTCATGCTGCACTAAACCTAGCTGAAATTAAAATACCAAATTTATGTTTGGTTTAGAGAATTCAGCGATGACAAACCACATGTTGATTTGTACACAGGCTAAATGGTGTGGGGGATTGTGGTGTCGTTTTCCTTATTCTTAAATAGGCGAAACAATAATAGTTTTTTATGCTATATTTTCATTTGGAGTATGGCTAAAAGCTTTCATTGTATCAGTGTCAAAAAAAAAAGGGGGGGCAGGGCAGGGGAGAAGCGTTGCAAAACTGTAAGGTTTTCCTTCCATTGGAAAAATAACTGATGTTGTTCCACTATTTCTGCTGTGGCTTACTAGATAGGGTTTCCTAGTTTACTATGCCTGTCAGTGTTTCCTGGTGACCTACAGTTCACTTTGTGGAGCACAAACACACACATTGGAAGAGTGAAGTAAATACCATGGCAATAGAATGATTGCATTACCCTCGAGCTGTAAAATGCCTGAACTCCTTGAATTTGATACCATACGGTAGATTTTGCTGATGCAGAATTGAGGCCTGTAACACATAATCACTGCTGCAGAATTTAATCTAGCTGGTGACAGAGTCCTCTTCTCCTTCGGCAGGAATCAGGCTGGTAATGTTTAGAATTGAAAGTCTAAATTTAGACTTGAGGATGGTTGTGATGGGGGAAAAAAAAAAAAAAGAAAAGAAAAAAAAAAGTAATTAAAGTGTTTGCTCAGAGGGGCTGGGGAAGAAACCTGGGTCAGATTTCTGTGGCATTACCTGTGCCTCTGTTTTGAAGAGGAGTCAAGCTGTTAGTCTCCAGACACTGGATTCCTATAAAGTTGCTGAGTGGCTGGAGTCTAATGTAACACACCTGTGAGCCATTTCCATTCAAGTAAATGGGATTTGCACACATTTGTCTGAGAACAGGATTTAGTTTCTCCTGTTCTAATTATTAGCTGTTGGTTTTGACTAATTAAAAGAACTTTTAGTGAGAAGCCTTGAAGATTATGAAAGCTGCGAATACGTGACATGAACCAGAACTACAAGTCTGAATAATTTTATTTAGGTAGCAGTTTGTATTCATTTCTAAAAAAATGGGTTTTTTTCTTTTTGTTTTCTTTTAAAAAGAACTTCTGAGTAGCTAATGTGTTTAAACAGTCTCAATTAAAACCCAATAAAGCTAAACTCTGCTTGAGGTCAACTTTGTTGAATTTTCCTCATGGTAAAACATGCTTTAGGTAGCCCAAAGTAAAAAAACCAAAACAAAAAAACCCCAACCCAACCAACCAACCAAAAAACCACCAACCCGTAGCTTTTAGCAATAAAATACACTGAGGTACAGGGTGGCACAGATATTTTTTTCCTCTGCTTAGTTATCAGTGTCCTTTTAGATTGAAGATGGGGCAACAACTTGCTATTTTAACAGCCTCATGCATGCCCTTGTGGCAGTCTGTAAAAACTATTCCACTGAGTTCAGTAATATTTCTACTGTAATATTTTTTCTCCAGCACACCAAGCTGGTTCATTGGTTAGAGGTAATGGAGCAATATCTTTTCAGTGCATGTAAAAATCTCCACAGAAGATCGTCGAGAGTAGGCTCCTTCATTATTACCCTCTCTGCAATCAAGGAAAGTCAAATAAGTGGCTATATGTAAGGAGCTTGTTTTGCAGTAAGCTCAAATAAACACTTGACATGCTAATGAAAGCAATTTTATACTGAACCTCTAAAGTATTAATGGTGTCTGTTATTATGCTATTAGATATATTGTTCTCTGCCTTCAGACCATTGATAGAGAAAAGTAAGTGTGAACTGCATAGCAGATTCTCATATCAATGGTTGTATTCAGTAGTTTTTCATTGTAGCATGGGTTATTGTCTAGGGAAATGAATAGACTGGATGCATGGAGAAACATTCTTTACTCCCAGGTTCCCTGCAGTATTTCAGGTTTGACATGTGCAAACATACAGTGTAATTTTCTTTTTTTTTTTTTCTCTTCTCCCTTTCCTGGGTCTTGGGAGAGTCAAATCAGCCAGTGATAATTTTGTCTTTCCCCTCGGTCATGTGCAGTCAGTGACTGAGCGGTTGTAAAGTCTCAGGTGAGAAAATTATGTTTGGCTCTAAACAAAACTCAGCACATCTTACTTCAGTAGCTTCATAACACAATCCTAAAGTAATTATACAGACAAACTGCCAGTATTTGTCACAGCATAGCAGCCATGAGTTAGCACAAATGCCACAGGTTACCTGTTCCTCATCCTTGCTGATTGTCACCGTCCAAAAACAAACATTTTTTTACAAAAGTCTAACAAAACAAAAATTTAAAATCTTCCTTATTTCTCTTAGCTACCTCCCCAAACGTTCTCCAGAATGGCAAGGTGCGTGTAATAAATTTTCTTGATTCTGGGAGAAGCGAAACAGTTTGCCTTTTCTTTCCTTACGGGATTACTCAGCAAGATATAAAATGGAGCCTGCCCAAGAGCTGCCTGATCTGTTCCCACCATGGTCTGCAGGTGATCAATATTGTATCAAAGATGACTAATACATCTAATAACACCATCATAAATGCCTGATCTTTCTCCTCCTCCAGGAGAAAGATAATCAATCCATGCAGCAAAAGCCTTTTCTGTGCCTCCTGAGGTCAGGAACCTCCTTTCCCTCTCTCAAAGGATGTGAAGACAGAACTGGAGCTCTGCAAGTTGTCTTGCTCCAGCTGCTCATAAACTTCTTCCAAAATCAATGGCCACATTCTTCCTGATAGATTGATTGGTCTCATGTGGTCACCTTAGCTGAGCCCACTGTATGTGGGAGGAGCTGGTCTGTTGGAATTGCTCGTCCAGGATGAACTTTGTCTGCTTTCTGTTCACTTGGTGGGAAGGAGAACAGTTTGATGGATAAGCCAAGCCAGGAAGGTCAAAATGAACACAAATCGCCTGTAAGATAGTTGGTAGAGTTGGTTCCTTTGCCTGATGGGGTCATTGCACTGCTGAGCCCTTAGCTTTCAAGGGCAACATCAAACATCTGAAATCTTGCTCGGCAGTGTCAGGAGTTGAAGATCACCAGCAGGCTCCTGCCTTGCTCAGAATCAGTTGTGCTCTGTCCATGAAAGATGATGAGTATGGAGTAGA